GTTGAAGGTGTACCCCAAGCAAAAAAAAAAGATGTGGGTTTCCCAAAGTTCATACCAGGCCATTCAAGGTTGCTATGGATTTTATGAAGGGAACCCCATGCACAAACCATGAAACCATTACCAGACCTTTTGCCAAGCATGCAGCCTGACAGGGCTGGAAAGAGGAGAGGAGACAGCACGAGGACATGCCCTAAACATGGGGGGGAACCACCTGGCAAAGCATCTTGTCTGTGAGCGGGGAAGAGAGAAACTGTCACAGACGGCCGAGCGCTGCAGGAGGAGAGCGCTGAGCGGCCGTCGTCTCTCCTTCCACACCGCCCAGCCTCCGTTGAGAGATCAGAGGAGAGCGGTGTGTGTGGGCGGAGGCAGCCAGCGCAGTCACAGGAGGCCGGCCGGTGGTGCGGGGGAAGAGTCAGCTGTCAGATCGAGTTCTCTTCCCCGCTCGCTCATCCTCCTGTGACAGCTGTCAGGATGGAGAGCGGTACAAGCAGTCAGTGATCAGTGATCACTCAGTGTTTGTAAATAATTGGAGACATAGTATGGTTACTATATCCTCAATTGTGAACGAATGGGAAGTGATCTACATCACCTCCTGTTCATTCCTGATTGTGGACATGGTAAACACACTTTGTGCTCATGTTATAAATGAACAGGAACACTCAGTACAGAGGATTCCTGTTCATTTATAACAGGGGCTGCAGAAAAAGAGATTGAGGACTTTGTGTTCTCAATCTCTTTTTATATTTTAAAAGGGAAATATCAGGGGTCTGTTTAGACCCCTAATATTTCCCCGAAGCATCTAAAAGTAAAGTCATTTCTGTTTCGTTTCGGTTTTAAAATCTTCATTTCAGTGCACCTCTAATAAAAATAAATAAAAGTAAAATGTAAAAAAATGTAAAAGTTTATTAAAAAATTAATAAAATAAAATATTTTTAAAAATTAGAAAAAAAACATTTCCGGTATCGGTTTCGGCCTTTATTGTATGAGAGATGACTGCTTAGAATGTGCTCCAACAACTGTTTCTGTTCACATCAATAGGTGTAATGTGCAGTGCTGTGTGAAAAAATGTTGACATGCACATTTCTGTAGCGCTCTTGATAGCAATGAAGGTCACTGCGGGGTGCAGCAAACTGCGTTCCTGTGTGGAGTTCCAAATGGAATGTACACTTTGTACACTCCAAATAAAGTTAAAAAAAGAAAAATGTAAACACTGCAACAGCACATCACACTGCCCCCTGCTGGACCTCACTCAGAACACTAGGCCACATGCTACAACTGACAGGGCTATTCACAAAAGGGTGAAGAGTTTGGAGAAGGCAGGAGAAGTGAACAACCTAGGCCAAAATAGCTGATTTGGAAAAATTCTCCAATTCAGCTCACTTTCCAGTTCAGCTATGTTGTCCTAGATTGTTCACTTCTCCTGCCTTCTCCAAACTCTTCACCCTTTTGTGAATAACCCTGTCAGTGTTTTAGCCTGCAAGCTAGTGTGAACAAGCCCTAAATCAACAATGTCATAGTTCTATCCTCACAGGGTTCCTTTAAGTGCAGTGTAGTGTGTGGGGACAGGAGATAGTTTATATATTATTACTTTAGCTATTGGCCTGGAGTTCTGCTTTAATCATCAGAGGTTTACATAAGAATTTCTGCATTCTGGAGAGAGAGCTAATAAAACGCTTCAGTTTTATCTAATTCCACACCCAGTCTGAGTACACTGCACACATTGTTAGAATGGCATCAGTTCTTTGCCTGATCCATTGCCCAAAGCAGAAATCATTTTTAGCTCAAATATATAATAATCCAGTGGACGCACATGTTTCACCGATATGTTTAAATTATACAGTATTTGTCTTCTTTTTACTATACCCAATCCAACCTGTTCTAAACCCGGGCTGCAGATCTACTGCACTTCACTCCCCAGTTACACTTATGGCCAGTTCACACCAATTGAGGTGCTTTCCAGAGCGGTAGCTGCTGGAACGCACTCTAATCGTACACTAAACTCCTCCCTTAGTTCTGGGGTGGGAGGGGGCGTGGCGGTGAATTGAAGTCAATGGCACCGCAGCCACTCCCCCGCCCCGCTGCGATCGAATGCGTGGCAAAAAATTGCCTGCGTTCAGGCCAAGTGCGAACGCACAAAAATGCTGCATGCTGCAAGACTGAGCGTATCCACAAATCTATTCATCTAGCCTTGTATTTGTATAATTGTACAGACCTAATTATGGAATATTTACATTTTTATCTGAATCAGTCTCTCCAGTTTGCTATGGGCTCAGCAATTACACCTTAGCTCCATGGGACTGCCTACCTTCCTCCTCCTTATGTTTGTTACTCTGATATTTTTGATTTCTTCTTCATTCATCTTTTAGGTCTAGGGGTAATCTGATCTGTACAGAAGATGTCTCTGATTGGCTGGGACCGAGCTAAAGAAGAGTTTGTGTTGCTACGCTACAGAAGTTCTGCTCATTTGTGTAAGTCGGTTTGTTCAGCAGACCGTCTGGAATCTCTTCAGCTAGTTGCATTGTTCCATTACTTTTCTGGTCTGTTGGTCTGAGGGATTGAGCCATTGATTATTTATTTGTTTCATGGTGAAAATTTGGTTGGGTTGAGCTTAAAGCGGACCTTTACCCATATCTTTAAAATAACAACAAACACACCTTTAGAAATGTTTAGTAATGACAATCTACAAACACATACATAGAGATAATTGCCGGCTTTCTATTCTTTGCATACCTTATTTCTCTTTTCTTTCCCAGTCTACTGACAGTGGCCATGTTTAGTAAGGGCAATTACTAGCTTTCCTTTTACTTCCTGGATTTCTGGCACATGTGACTAGACATGTGACTAGGATATGTGACCATGCACATCATCTCAGGGGAGGAAAATGCCTTTCCCTGACATCTCCTGAGATTACAGATGAGATTTCCCAGCAATGATCTGCTGATGACAAACTAATCCCAGTGTGCATTGCTTTGGCAAAACTGAAGTCATTTTGCCCTTTCAAAGCAGGAAGTGAATGCTCTGCAAGTGTCAGTATTTCACAATCACAACATTTTACACCTGACATGTCTATGTTATTATGAATCATCATACATAGAGGGATGCATTGATAGCTAGTAATCTATAAGCTAGTAATCTGCCCTTAGTAAACATTGATAGAATTGATTTTTGAGTGTAAAGTCTGCTTTAAAGTGCTGAGCCTGTTTTTTGGTTTATCTAATAGTTTATCTA